ACTAATGAGATCAAACTAACATCATAAGAATTGTATGGCAGACAGTAAGGAGAATAACTAATGAGATCAAACTAACATCATAAGAATTGTATGGCAGACAGTAAGGAGAATAACTAATGAGATCAAACTAACATCATAAGAATTGTATGGCAGACAGTAAGGAGAATAACTAATGAGATCAAACTAACATCATAAGAATTGTATGGCAGACAGTAAGGAGAATAACTAACGAGATCAAACTAACATCATAAGAATTGTATGGCAGACAGTAAGAATTACTAATGAGATCTTGGCAGTGAAAGGGTTAAGAAGAGAAAACTTACATAATTGACCCATCTAATTTGCCCTCCAAATTCAACATTTCAAATACTGTAGGCCCTAAGATTGGTTACATACAAAGAGCATTTTTCAAAAATATCTTGAACAGACATTAACACTCTGATTGTGTTAATAATTTTACCACTGCAAGTGCATAAACTTCCAGGGTACTTCATAGATTAACATTTTAAGAAGACTATTCTGTTCCCAACCTGCATGTTATTTTGCACAGCAGAGCAATCCTTTGTGACTTGTTAGTTTTATAGAAATTGGTTGCCTCTGAGTGTTGTTATTTTTGAAACAGACGTTTCGGCTAATGCTTAAGCCTTCATCAGTAATATGAAAAACGAAGGTTGTTATCATACACTATCATCATAAAGGTAGATGGGAAGAAATACAACGAGTAAAGGCTGTTCTGCGAGATGACAATTATCAAATGACTTTTATACAGAACTGTGAGTGAGCGTTATTTAAACAACCCGCCCAGACCAACTTCAATGGCTTTGTAGTACTGCTGTATGTACAGGGTGTTTCCGAGAAAATAAGTCGCATATTGAAACAACAAAAGGTCAAAGTAGCCTACAAACCAAACAAACAATCAACAGCCTTTTTCCATGCCCCAAGGGATGAGATGAAGCTGACCGCCAGAAGTCAGGCATGGTGTACAAAAGCAATTGCACACAGTGTAATTTTAAGTACTATGGCCAAACAGAAAGGTCATTAAAAACCAGAATTGCGGAGCACAAAAAGGTAGTTGCAGGTTTTGACTTAAAACTCCAAAGTCGCAAGCCATGCCCACCTTTTCGACCATAACATGGACTTTACAAATGTCAGGGTTGTTGGTTTCATTTCTAATTACCACGAGAGACTTTTCCTTGAAGCCTGGCACTCTACTTTGGATCTGAATGCTGGGAACGATCACATCGTACTTCCAGAAGCCTATAAAGACCTTGCGCGAGCATCAAATACATAGCTACGCGTGCAAGCTTCGCGTCACGTTTTTAACTTAAAATAGCATATGACAACGATCTTTGTTTTTCATATCACTGATGAAGGCTTCAGGAGGCTCGAAAGGGGTTTTCCACAATTAACAGCAAGTGCCAATCAGTAAAAGATATGAGGACTGTCAAACTTATCATCAGGATAATGACTTGACATATGCATAACTCTATGTTAGGGAAATCTTTTAAGGGGGTTCGTCAGGCATTATCTGTTGCCATGGTAACAGTACAGTAGTGCTAAAAGACCTTCTAAAACTCAGTTTTTGAAAGATATCTCAAAAACCAAGTCGGTGACCTAGTTTTTTTTTYCAAATTTCTTTAACATCATCACATTCTCTACCTGTAGACGTGATATTAAAAAAACCTATTTAGTAGAACTTGAATTATTTTGGAAAATGCTGTTTTAAAATGTAAAAAAATTTCCACTTGATAAATTTTTTTAAAATTTTCTTCAGGAACGCGTAATGATAAAACTAATTTGTACACGAAAAATCAGGGTAGGTCACCGAACTAATTTTCGAGATATTAGTTCATCAACTTAGCAAGCTTTATCTCTGGTTTTTGCAATTTCAGCTCACACTTTTATATCCAGTCACGTGCTTTAAACGATACCGCTGACTCAAGGGCTCATTTTCGCGAGGATGAGTTTGTGACCGCGCGATTAATCGACGGATCGCCTCAGCGCGGAAAAAATCGTTCATCCTGAAGATGGATTCACATTGTTTTGTGATTTTACACATTCCTGAAAAGTGAGTCATCATTTGAGACTCAGACTGCTTACCATTACGACAGTTGGAAATGAACTCAGGAGAGAAACTCCGGAGAGAATTCTCTAGCGGAATTTGATATATGATCACAAGTTAATTTTGCAGATGGCGCCAATGCCAGTACTCCATTGAGGCCGGTAATGTTGAGTTTCTCATACAGAGATTGTAGTGTAACATGAGACAAACCAACATCTACCAGCTTCTGGATCATGTTTGTTGAAAGATGAAGCTTTCCATCGAACATCTGGATGGTATCTTGTCGCTGTTCCGAGAAGATGGCTTGATCAAAGGCCTCATTCAGCAATGCACATTTACCATGATTGACCGACATAGTTGTTCATGTGCAATTTGAAGTGGAAGAGTGAAAACAATTTGGAGTGAAAAGAATTTGCTTTGATGTCTTCCAGATTGTCATGAGTGTCAAACTCGGTGGAAATTAGGGTTTCATATACATCAGCAATTTGTTGATGGTTACAGATTTCACGAATTTCTATAATTTTCGAGGTACTAGAGGTATGAACAAGCCTTGGCTTCATTTTTCTTTTTTTCTCTTTGCCACTGTCATAACTGTGAACTTTCATTATTCTGTTTTAAATGGAAAAAAAAAACAAATTTTGCAATCCTTTCTTTGCAAATGTGAGTTTGTATTTTCGTAGTTGTAATTTACAGTTTATCAAGGGAAATATCAACAATATTTCTCACAAGTTCAAGATGAATATTTTATTTCAATTTTACCATCTGTGGTTGAATTAGAATTAAAGTCTCATCTACATTTTTAGGATCTCTCGTTTACTGAAAATTATGTTTATTTTTATCGCAACATTTACACTTCTCCATTTCCGTTAATAAAACTGTCAATGTTTACAATCCTCGATCCAACAATGATTTCATTTCCCTTTTCATCTTCCAGTGAGTTGTTTAGGAAAGTTTTCTGTCATTTCATTTTATTAGGAATCAAATTCAATGTGACACAAATCGTAGCACTCAGAGGTATCCACTTAAATTTTTCGCGGAACCAAGTAAGATCTACCGAATTCACTCTTGAAACGCGACTTTATTGATGGGGTGTCAACTTCACCATACTCCTTTCCCTCGTTAGATAAAATTTTTTTGACCACTTTCGGCAAGAATCCTGCCATCCGAACAATTTCCTACCTGCTTTCAAGAAGTAAGCTTTCCATTTTTGTCTCTTAAACAACCACTTCTGCTGGAAACAATAGAGGTGCTGGCAATTTTGAAATGCTCATGGCGGCCATGTTTGTTTACAACTCGTGCATGCCATCGCTTATTTCTCTCGTGAGTAATAAGCTTGCGTGTATCTTGGAATCCATTCTCCACGCTGTCAAAAAAACCCTTTTGAGCCTCCTTAAGCATTAGCCGAAACGTCTGTTTCAGAAATAACAACAGTCAGAGGCAACCAATTTCCATAAAACTCATGACATCTCCTGACTAAACTTTTTCCATTTTTAAGTAAGTTGTTACCTTGCCTGCAGTTTCATATTTAGAAGTTTTCACAATTCAGATGTTTTAATAAAAAAAAAGTAAAATTAAGTTGAACCTATAATGCCTCACTAAAAGACCTGTTTGAAACATTGCGTATTTTTCATGTTCATTTGATTTCAGTGACATTAAATGACATAAAATGTTGATACATAAATTAATTCTAATTTTTACAATAAAATTCCTCTTATTAATTATACAAAAAAACTGACAAATTTTATGCAGAATATTATATAATTAACTTCAATTCCTGTCTGCAGAAGTTTAAACTTTTATTCCTTTTGACTACACTATGCTCCACATACACCCTATTGGGATAAAATTTCTTTTTCTGGAAAAAAATGGATGCAAGAAGTAAAATTAAAAGAAAAAAAAGAAAAACCACAAAAGAATTTTTCTAACCAAAATCCATCTTTTCACTGTGTATCTTAAATGTTGTACATACACCAGTACAAAAGAAATGATCCAGAAACTATAAATTCAGGGAAGATGTGCTTGTGTTGTTTTGAATCAAACCATTGAACTAGCATTTTCATCAATATGCTCTAAAAGAAACACTTTAAATCTTGAAAAAAAAAATTAAACTTTTTCCTTTAATGCAGTGTTCTTTGACAACATTTTTTCAATGAGGTGTATATCAATCAACATACAGGTGCATATTAAGGTGGCTGAACACAGTTTTTGATACCTGTGTTTCTTTCACCATTTTCTCTAAAACCCTCGATCTCTCGGTCGCCAAAACTGGCAGCAAGTAAGTTAACAACACAAACTTTGGCTTTTTGATAGCTATGCCGATATATGTGCCATTGCCATGGCGACATGAATAAATATAAACAGGCCTTTAAAATCAGTTTTGTTTATTTGTAGAAAATGTAGTCATTAGATTTTCTTTATAATTTGCTTGCTACGAGTTTGTAATGATACTCACAAATTAACACCATTTTGCTTACAATTTAACAGAGAGATCTTTAACCATCCCTTGTTGAAGATTCACTCGATTATCTAGATTTTCCTTTGTTGAAAATAAATTTTTTTCAATACTCCAGTTACTTATTTCTTAATGAATGGAGGCTGATAGTTTCGAAAGAAACTGTTTGGGGCTGTGTCGGTGGGGGTAACGAAATAATTTGGATATATCAACAAAGTTGAAATGGTAAATTGGTCACCGTAACGATTTCAAAAGCTGACGTTTTGAGTGTTAGCCCTTCGTTGGAGCGAATAGAGGAATTGTGGGTTGTGTGTGCTTTTAAAGGCAGAAAATGGAGTTACGTTATTGGTGGGAACATGGCAACGAGAAAAACATGAATAAATTAGTGGAATGAAAAGCGTTCGTTAATCCCTGTGGGATTTAGACTGCTGGTTTGAAAGATGAGCTTTTGTTCAAGATTTTTACCGCTTTCCGTGCCACCTAAATGCAAGGAAAGACCACAGATTGCCATATGTTGCTTAGAATGATTAGGTAAACTAAAATGTCTAGCGACTGGTTTCGATGTTTCCTTGTCATTCCTTTCCATGTCTCGAAGGTGTTCTCGGAATCAGTCACCTAGTCTTCTGCCTGTTTCACCGATGTATATCTTTTTGCAATAAGTGCAAGTTATGCAATAGATTACATTGGCAGAGGTGGACGTGAAGTGATCGGTGATCTTAATGGATCGTTTAGGTCCTGATATTTTATCAGTGTTGTGAATGAAAGGACACATTTTGCATCGTGCACGAGCGCGTTACTTATTTCTTAGAGTATTTTCACGCCAAATTTTGTGAAATTCTACCAAGTGGTTCTCAAGAAATAGACATATTTCCAAGAAAGCAATTTTCCATTCAATCACAATTTTTTTACTTACTACGCATGCGCTGCATTTACTGGGTTCTTTCGGTAATGACGAAAAGCTTAGAATTGCTGGGTTCTTTGCAACGTTAACTTTTCTGACATATCTTTGTAGTAAAAGATTAAAGCCCTCAATACACTGCACCAACTAAAGAGAAAAATAGTATAGATAGTGCAGGTATGTGTTGAGTAAATAATATGACCGCTCTATTGACGGCATGTTTTTTCTGCAATCCTAGCTTGTGCGCGCACTGAATTGCATCAGCAAAAGCGTGCACGAAAACTGTGTTCAGTCACCTTAAGGAGAGATTATGAATGATTTCAGGGTAGAAAGGTTTGGAGATAGCTGTGGGACTTGCAAATTTTTACAGCCTGTCCTCTTGGCAGTCATTCAGCAAGTAGCAACATTTTAATAACTTGGTGTTTATGGCTTTAAGGGGAGATCAACACTAGAGGCTGCTTAATTTGTTGTCTTGTCTAGAAATTGGTTGTGTTTTATGTTTAGTAAACCTCTATTGCCAGCAAAAACCTCAGTTTATGAGTAAAGCTATGGAAAAGTATGTCAAGCAGTTGATAACAAAGCATGTTTGTTTGCTAGCGAGTAAAGGTTTATCTCTGACAACTAGTTTATGATTTGGGGCACCAAATTAAGGCCACTTTGCAAAAACTTGCACTTAGAACCAGTGGAAGACTATTTAAGAATTCTTTTCTGAGTATCGCAAATGAGATGTTACTAGACTTTAGAACCTACTGAAACTTCAATATATTTGTATATCGAGGAACTAACAACACCTCAACAAATCTGATGAAAGTAACTTACCAGATTCCATTAAAAGGGTCTTTAGCATCGTTAATCCAGACATGTCTGAGTAAGATAACTCACTTTCTAAACCTTGAAAATAATCCCAGACCACATTACAATAAAGATTATAAGGATTAATGAAAAGTAAGAGTTTAAAGAATGATTCGTGAAATGCTAATATGCAGATAAGAGTAAAACGATTGGCGAATTGCCGAGGAAATATGAACATGTAATTCCTGACAACCATACAGAAAAACATTGAAGGAGGCCTGAAAGACGAAAAAGCCTTCACACTTTCGTCCAGACATTTCTGACTTAACAGTTTGCTGAATCGCTTATCTCTAAAACGACCAGAGCCAATGTGATGGCGAAGTCAAGGCACGCTATTTATCAGAGCAGCGGTGGCTGTTATCAAGCGATCCAAACAGCAGTGATTTGAAATACGTTTTCTCGCGAGGGACATTCGAAATGATTTCAAAAGATGTACAACCACTCAGCAAGATATCTCTCGAAGATTTCCCTGTAACCCCAAACATTAATTATGCATTCCATTTCATAAAGACTAAACATAAAGGTTTCTTGGCAATACTCTATTTAAACAATAGAGTGTTTCTGTTGAGGAACTATTGGCTGATAGTTGCCCCGCGGAAATTTGATGTTCTTAAAACAAATACTTGCCCGAGAAGCGAAGCTTCGAGGGCAAATATGCTAGTTTTAAGAACATCAAATCTCCAAGGGGCAACTATCAGACCGATAGTTCTGAGACATAAACATTCTATTGTCTTTATCGTTCACCACTAAATTTTCTTCCGCGCGCCAGATCACTCAAATATTTATTCATGCTTACAGCCTGTCACAAATGTCAATAACTCGCAACCATACATTGGCTAAATAATAAGTTATATAACTGTCAGAATTGAAAGATTACTGTTTTTCTGATCTGCCTAACTTTGCGGCCGTAAAACCATTCAAATTTTTCATGGCTGAGTACTATCCATCTGGGTATTTTCTGTGGATGGGCACTATCCATCCGAGCATTTTCTGCAGACGGGCACTATGGGCTGATAGTGTCTCTCCACGGATGAACACTATCGTGTCACGTGATCAATTTAGACCAATAAGAATTGGAGACAATTTAGTGGTGAACTATAATTATAAACAATAGAGTGTTTCTGCTGAGGAACTATCAGCTGATAGTTGCCCTGCAGAAATTTGATGTTCTTAAAACAGATATGCTAGTTTTAAGAACATCAAATTTCCAAGGGGCAACTATCAGACCAATAGTTCCACCGATCGAGACATAAACACTCTATTGTCTTTATTGTTCACCACTTAAGTTTCTTCTGCGTGCCAGTTGAAAAACAGTCAAAACCCACTGAATGCAGATCCATCAAATATTCATTCATGCGTACAGCCTGTCACAGATGTCAATAATTCACAACTGTACATTAGCTAAATAATATGTTCTACCTGTCAGAATTAAAGACACTGTTTTTCCAATCTGCCTTACTTCGCGGCCGTCAAACCATACAAAAACTTTTCACAGATGAGTACTATACAAGGGCCTGTTCTGGTCAAAATGGTGCATATAATTTTTAACTGTGCATGAATTAATATTACACATTGATAGAATTAATATTTTGCATTTCTAAAATATTTTATTTAACTGCCAAATTAATTTTACCATTCCTATTAATTATATTTTTAGAAGACTAATATTTTGTGTGTTTGTAATTAATTTTGTATGTTTCTCAAAATCCCTTTACCCATTACCCATAACACCTTGCGGTAGTTCTCTACCTGTGCTGCCAAACAAAGATGGCAACGGCCCCTTCGATTCCCAAGCAAGTGAAAGAAATCGCACAAGCTGCAATAGACAGTATTAATCAGCTAAATCATTAATTGAGCACGGACCATCAACGACAAGATTTTCTAGTAACGAATGTCAACCAACAACATCGGAGACGACTTTTGTTCACCAAACCCAGCCAGCTAATAGCGCACTAACAGAATTGCAGAGGAGGTTTCCGACAGTTTCAAGAGGATGATACAGAAGTCCTTCTAATTCTAGCTTGCGGCCGTATCCAGTCCTTCAGAATGTAAGGTATCCTGCTGGTCGACCATTAGCATCTGAGATAGTTTCAAAGGATGTTATGATACTAGAAATGGGAAGAGAGAAAATACCGATGAAAGCAGAAAAGCCTGATTTAGAGAGAAGTGGACGAATTATATCAGGCGTTGACATTGATAGAAAGTGGGATGCCGAAAAACTTCACAAAGAGTTAGCGCAATTATTGACAGGTGAAATGGAGGGCTTGTATCTCGAAATAGTAAAGAACTCTGGTGGTACTTTGCTGAGACCAAACATTCAGGCAGGAAAAGAGACTGATTCAAAGCTGCTGCTGAAATCGATTGCTCCATCTGGCTGGATCTATTTAAGACTCCTGGAGGAATTGCCATCCATGATTGATCCCAGTGATAAATAACTAGAAGTTCCTGTGTTTGAATTCCCTGAATCTCACATGCTCTCAAGTGATGCTAGTGGTAGAGACGACTTCTCTCGACATATGTCAGACACCACTGCTGATAACTCTAATACAAATGTAGGATCAGTGTTCAGTACAAGTAAGAGTCAGCCACCCTCGAGTTCATTTGATATCCAGTCAGTAATCAAAGGTGCTAAAGATSAGGGTTTGACTGACCCTGTAGTAGTGCTTAAATTTCTGCAAAAACAGATTGTAACTGGCCGAGCCCTAGAAGTTACAAGCTGCGAAGAAACCATTGAGGGAGAAACAAATTACATTACTGTTGACAGGGCAAATATATATTTAGAAACAACAATTAGTGAACTAGAATACATTACAAATTAAAGACCCATGTTTCAGGTGGACTTCATGGGAGAGGAATGTGTAGATCAGGGTGGGCCACGTAAGGAATGGATAAGACTAATGAATCAAGCCATTAAAGAAAAGTACTTTGACAATGGCTTGAGGCCATTATTAGCACAAGATTACTATTTTGTTGGAGTGATGATGGCAGTTGCCATGCTTCAAAATGGACAGTTGCCTGTATTTGTAGAAGAAATCATTCTGCAGCAAATTGTTTCTTTAGGAGAGTGTTTTGACCCTTGTGTTTGTCAAATTAGGCATGGACTAGAAGAGCTTGGAATGTTGTCAGCTCTTCAGGAACTGCCAATGTTGGTTCATCTCCTGAGACCCCAAGCACAAGGCAAGTTGAGTGTACAAATGTTACTTCAGATTTTGAAGCCTAACTTTTCAGATGAGGGTTCTAATACCCTGAAAAAGGAAAAAGAAGTTATNTCAAAGGGAAGAGCAGCACCCACCGGTGGAGGGCGGCTTCCTCCCTTTAGCTCATACCTGTACCAACTTGCTTGAGATTCCAAGGCCAACTGAGAAAGTTCCTCTGCCTCCTAGGGATAAATTATTTGCTCTGTATGACTTAGCATTTTCCCAGTGTTACTTTGGCAAGAAGTAAATGGCCTGCAGTCTATGGTTGATGTTGCCAGTTTTGACTTTAAAGTTGTAAGACTGCTAATGAGGTGCTGTTTTCCTTGACAAACATTGAGTTATGCAGGTTGAGTTCTCTTGGTCTTCATTGATTTTTTTCAAATAGATATTGACGAGTCTATATACATGCAATATTGTCTTTCTTGTTGCCAGTTTGAGTTGTTAGGTTTGATTGACCTCAGTGCAATAATTACTCAAACTGAATGACATTATTCACTTTATGTTGCTGTTAATAAAAGTAAATAGCTAAATTAATGCAATAAATCAGTTTTGAGTTTTCTATGACTGATACTGTTATAATTTACGGATGAAAGCAATGATCTATCAAAATCAATTTAACAGAGCATCACCAGTTAATTTTGTTGAAATCTATACCAGGGAAAACCTGTGACTAGAGATAGTTAAACTTAATAGTCCAATGACATAGATTGATTCTACCTATGATTTATAGATCTATTCATCTATGAACGATGTCGATAGCAAAAAAGGAGAAAGATATTAACAAAGTGAAGCATTTAAATAATGGCTACAACTTGATTTGAAACTCTTGTTTGTTATCAATGAAATTCATGTTTGGCTAGTTTGCACACAGAAAACTGCCTCACCTTTGTGGCAGATCAAATGGTTAATCTATTTAACCACAGGAAAACTGCTTTCCTTTAAAAAACCTATTGCGGATAAACCTTTCTATGGGGGCAGGTAGGAAGGTAAATACCCCCCTCTGCTCTAAAAAACCTGTGAACAGCAAAACATCTTGCATGTCAAAATAATGTTTCAATTTTAATGATCAAGTAAAAAAGTTAAGGGAGAAACTGGTGAATTTGTTGCCCAGAATATCTGCTCCAGACCTATGGATGAGAAAACAATTTTTATTATAGTGGCACAGTTTGGTTCTTCCTTTTAGGCCTCAAGAGACTTCACTTGAGGTCAGAAACATGTCAATGACATCAAAACATTGCAGGAAGAGATCTGCTTTCGTCGGTATTTTCTCTCTTCCCATTTCTAGTATCATAACATCCTTTGAAACTATCTCAGATGCTAACGGTCGACCAGCAGGACGTCTTACATTCTGAAGGACTGGATATGGCCGTGAGCTAGAATTAGAAGGTCTTCTGTATCTTCCTCTTGAAACTGTCGGAAACCTCCTCTGCAATTCTGTTAGTGCGCTATTAGCTGGCTGGGTTTGGTGAACAAAGGTCGTCTCCGATGTTGTTAGTTGATGTTTGTTACTAGAAAATCTTGTCGTTGATGCTCCGTGCTCAATTAACGAGCTTAGCTGATTAATACTGTCTATTGCAGCTTGTGCGATTTCTTTCACTTGCTCGGGAATCGAAGGGGCCGTCGCCATCTTTGTTTGGCAGCACAGGTAGAGAACTACCGCAAGGTGTTATGGGTAAAGGGACTTTGAGAAACATACAAAATTAATTCCAAACACACACACAATTAATTACAAACACACAGAATATTGGTCTTTTAAAAATATAATTAATAGGAATGGTAAAATTAATTTGGTGGTTAAATAGAATATTTTAGAAATGCAAAATATTAATTCTATCCATGTGTAAAATTAATTCACACACAGTTAAAAATTATATGCACCATTTTGACCAGAACGGGCCCTCATAATTACTATCCATCTGAGTATTTTCTGTGGACGGGCACTATCCATCCAGGTATTTTCCGCGGATGGGCACTATTGGCAGGTAATTCATGGCAGTCTCCATATAGACCCCCTGTTACTCAGTCTCCATATAGACTCCCTGTTACCCCTGTGTACCCTGTGTACCCATGTATACCCTGTGTGCCCTGTGAAAATAGATATGGAATAAGGGTTACTCACAGCACAGACAATTTTAAGGCCGAGAAAAAGAAGAGAATAACTTCTACACCACCATCATTGCAAAGGCGGTGAACAGCAGCTATTCTGGAGGACGAGGGATATAATTTGCAGCCCGGACCATGGACACTCGAAGAAAGCTGTCTCTTAGACTCCGTTGAGTCATTAATTTTGAACACATGCTTTATCCCAAGTTACAGAAATATATCAATATTGTATAATTTTTAGAGCGAGAGTCTGCGTGGAAATAATTTACAGTTTACTACAGTCACCCCTAAAACAGAGAGGCAAATTCAAGGAAAACTGGAATTTGTAAGAAAAAAACATTTAGCTCTAAAGATTCTTTACTATGGTATTTCAGTTCTTGATAACCAAGGGAATTCGGACTGATTGTTCTATTACCATATCAAATGGTACTATCTACAAGACAAATATAGTAAACATTGAGCAGTCTTGACTTCCGCCATTATATTTAGAAAAAACTATTGCTTTTGAAACAATTTTCAGTGTTAAGAATCCAAATAATAATTTTAAAGGCTTATTGTGTGAAATTCAAGATATTCTTTTAAGGCAACAAAATCGCGCGAGGATATGATGGGCAATGGGCAACACGCCCCTTAATTGTCTGTGTAGTACTCAGTTGCCTAGTAGAACAATAAACTTCGTTGATCATACATTGTGGCCTGTGTTTTCATCTGATTGAATATAAAGTGGAAACTGTAAACGTCATGCGTGTTTTGT